CCACATCCAAAACTGAAACAATGTTTTTTGATACATTACTTGGTGACAATGACAAAGTAGTGTTCTAGTTTGCCTTTTTTTGTACCTTTTTAAAAGACGGACATCATCAGAAGTTGCTCTATATTTTTAAATAATCGAAAACAATATTCTTTTTCAGAATATCGGTTATTACTGCAAATATTAACAGTCCTCCATTTTTTAATTTTTAGTTCCAGAAAATATTAACATACCAATGAAATATTAAAAGATTAAACTGTTCTTCTGCTAAAAATTTTCAAAAATACAAAACCAATCTTGTTTTATTAAAAATAAATAAAAAAAAATCCCTTCATGCCAAGCTCCAACTCCCTCAAAATTGAATCTCTAATGTTAAATCAAAATTCTCTTACATTATATCACAACCTCTGATATTTGAAAATCTAAAGTACAATAATAAATACTTTTATGCTCCGGTAACGAAATTTTTTTTGCATAATTATATATTTTGTTTGCCGAAATTTGTCTTCCTAGTAAACATATCTTATGCCGTCCAAATAAAATACTTCAAGCGTTATGTCTGAAAAGGTTTGTGTTCTATATTCTTTACCAGCTGTACCTTTTAGCGGTTTATTATTAATTCAGAATTGTATATGCATACAAAATTTATTACGTCTTATACAGCAAACAAACAATTACACTTTCACAACAGTTCAGAATCCATGCAATCGGCTTGTCACGTGACCAAACAAGTGACGTTTTTTACGTAGCAAGTTGGTCAGCCAATAGTGATTCAGCATTGTCACAGCAGGGGGTACGGCGAGTACGTTTTAGGCACATGCTCCCCTGAGCCTGGAGCTATGTAGAGTTTTCGGTTCCGGGTGATCACCGAGGCAAGCGGCAGCACGATCGCTGCGCTCCGTAAAAAAGTGAAAATTTTTCGTTTCCTCTTGGTGATTATCGATTAAATTCTTTGAAAAAGTTTTTTTCCTTACAAACCTATATCATTCCAATGAATTTCGGCTCCGATGTTGACGAGAATAAAACAGCGGACAATGTAAGGATATACTCCAAAAGCCTGGAATTTAAGATAAGTACTTTCTTTCATCTAAACTAAATCAAATTTTCTATAAATAAGTGCTTTAAATCAATAAATCTTAATTTTTCATCAGTTTAAAGCATTAAAAATACTTGAAATTTGCCTGCTTGTGGTTTCCTTTGGTATCAACTCGAAACAGACGCCAGCGTTATCAGTTACGTCTGTAACACTTACAAAGCCCTTAAGGAATCTCGAGAGAGGAAAATTTGGGGATGAGAGGGATAATTTGGGCATCGCGCTATTTCCCTCTCGGATCTTCTGGATTCTCCTTTTTTTAGATCTCTTTAATATATTTTCGCCTTTAAATAATATTATATCTCACCAATTTTTTCTGATACTGTTCCTTGCTATCCGTTAAATGTCCCTATGTAAGGGATGGTTTATTCTTCACCTGCCTTTAATAAATTTTTAGAACTATGAGCTTATATAAATAACAGTGCGCCTCATTGTGTTATACTAGTATTAATTAACTAGTAATAAATTATGATAGTAAAATAATTAATCTTGTAATAAATTATGATAGTTAAATTAATAAATAACTGTTAATTTGTATTTTAATACATATACTCAGTTATTACAACATAAATATATATATATATATATTATTATATTGTTATTTATATATTTATTTTTGTGTGTGTGTGCGGTTGTGGTCTTGTATTGTATATGGTTCTGTGTTGTTTAGTCTGCTGCTGTTTTTTGAAAAATGTATGAAAATGTTGGAGAACGAAAACAGCATAAGTTACTTTAGTTAAATTAATATATACTTTTGTTTGATGACCTTTGTTGATATCTCAGGATGCAATCATACATATTACTTTATATTCCATGCTAAATACCAATGATACGAAGCATTTTAACACCGTCAATATTTTTTTTTTCCCCAGTAAAACATCTATTCACCATTACCAAACACACTCACTACACAAACACACCTGTGAGACACTATTTATTGAATGAAGACAGTTTCTTCTCCTTTTAACTACACTCATGGACACAATCGTATTTTAGGATATTTTCTACTTCTTTTCCTTTTCTTTCTATAGGCCCCCCCTTTTTTTTCCCTCTATTATTTTTGGGCCATTTATTTAAAATTTTATTTTGTTCATCTTTTCTTTCCTGGCCTTTTGAAACTCGTACAAGATGTACGAAGTTCCTTTTTACTCTCCTCAAATACGAAATTGCCCCTCTTTCTACCTTTCCTTCGCCCCTATGCTTGATTTTTCGCCCATCGGTGCAGAAAGACTTAGCGGGTGCAAAACAAGACATCTGTCTACTTTGTCTGTCTGTCTGTCTGGAGCTATGTAGAGGTGAGATCAAGGAGGTTAGAATACATCGAGATGCCCTGCGCGCAGTCCAAGTGAAGCCAAAAAGGGGGGAAAGCATCTAATTTAATTTTTATTAGTAGTCATGGCTTTAGAAAGATTGACGAGCTCTTCAGCCAATGAGGCAGAACCTAGCCACACCTAGTTCGTAAATTAAAGACCGTGGATTCTTCGCGCGCTTTTCCTTCACTTTTTGCCGCATTTCATTTTATTTCTACATTTTCTATCATCTGTAGACGGCTGAAATATTGTTCCGAGAAGCAATTTTTATTCCTGCCAAAATGGTAAATTTCCTGCGTCGCTTTCGGCTGTACAAATAGAAGAATAGCAGGATCCGGTATTACATTTCAAAGGTAAAATATTCTTTTAACATATATACTATCATTTATTTAATTATACTTTGCTCAAAGTTAGATAAAAATTTGCTGTGCATGTTTAAAACATATCCAAGGAAACGGCTGCAAGTGCTGATAATTGTATCAATTCTAATGATTATCAGGATATGCAGAGGGAAAATATATGTACAAAGGGACTGATTCCATTAAAATGAGTAAATGAGAAATGCATTATGTAATTATATGCTGTCATTAATGAATGCTAGCAATAAAGGTATTGTGAAAATAAATAAATAAATACTCAAACCATTAATTGATATTTTAGTTATTCTAATATATACAGGTAAATTCTCAATTTTCCATGTTAGAAATACTACTACGTTTTGAAAAATATTTAAAATGCATGAACAATGATAAAAAAAATAATATTTAAATCCTGCATTGTTATTTTTAAAACTCCACAAAATTTCACCCCAAATTAAATCCTGTTATTAAATATTTACTGAACAGAAAAATAAAATTAAATACATAAAATATGACTTGTAATGTAATATGATCGCACCTTTAAAATAACGCGTTTTCTTTTCCACGATGAGCTGACCACTCCCCCTTCCCTTGTTTACTTACCGTTTTGCTTTTACAACTCAGTTAATTACGAGTATAATACTCAAACCATTAATTGAAGAAAAATCTGAGAATTATAGATGTTTCTTCGCGCACGTCACACCGAGAAAATACTCAAACTCTTTTCTGACGGCTTTTCAAACGCACATTTCAATTATTCTACTTATTTATGCATGTTAAAAAAAACATTCTTTTATATGGAAATGAAATCCGAAATGTAGACATTATTTCCAATGTAACCATTCAGTACCTTATGACCCTCTCACGTCTTCACATAAGAATCAGAAAAACACACTCAAAACTTCAAACAAGCTGACGTTTAACCTCACTTCACATAGTAAGGGAAGCGTTTTCTTGCCCTCACGAGGCGTGGCTTATTTGCTTCCCCCGGCTTCATTCTCCTGGTATTGCGACAGCAGAGACGCCATCTCCATGTATTCTAACCTCCTTGGGTGAGATAGACTGGTTGCTATGCAATAAACGTCACTTCCGCACGGAATTTCCACTTCACTTTCCGCCGACGGTATTTGAAGGGGCCAGACTCGCTCTCTCTTCTGCTGTCCAGTGGGAAGAGAATCCCGACTGGTTTTCCGATATCGATCTCGACCGGTGTCCAGACTAGACCCCCCACATGCGGTAGTGAGCAGAAGATGCACTTAGGTTTTTCTTCTGGCTTTAGAGGGCATTCTTTACTTCTATGGTGCTGTCCACACTTGCAGCAATCCTCAGGATTTGAGCAAAGATGTTACGAATGTCCATATTCTTGACATCTATAGCATTGAATTATGCGTTTTTTCGGGGCAAACTTCTCGATCTTGACATTAACACTTAACATATTGTTGAGTACATGAATTACACGTCCTTCCTTCGTTTCTCTCAGCTCCAACAGGAAAATCGGAAGTTTCTCGATAGCTTCTCCTCTTCGTCTGGAAAACTGCTTGACTTAACTTATCGGGAATTTCCTTCTCTCCAGATCTGCCTGGATTATTTCTTCCTTCATCGTCGATGGGAGGCCCTTAAGAACAACCTTAATAGGCATAAAACAATTGTTACATTTTAAGAACTATATTTAAACTAACAATGACTTTTTGCCATTCAATGTAGTATAATTTTAGTGCTGCCAACAATATTAAATATTATACCACACTGTTCGATTTTGGACAATCTCCCAAAAGGCAGTTCATTTCTGAATGGTCAGCATCCATATATCAGGCCGAATTAATTATGTTCGCAGTATCCAGAAGAAGTCATTATAAAGAAATCATCAAGTTGAAATTCGCGAAGAAGAATCAAAATCGTCATTCACATAGAACCTTCTTGAACGACGTTACTGAAGATCTCTCTGTATTTTATTTTATTACGTGCTCTACCATTAGGCTGTACACTGATATTCGTGGATGCCCTGTGTAGGAAATTTTTTTAAAGAGAAACTGGCTCGTGTCCTCGCTACACATAGGGAAAACCACGAAAATGCCCATGCCGGAGCTCAAATCACTGACCGAACTACCAGTGTTCAGAGGATTTTACCGCTAGGTCTCTGGTGAGCTCAAAAAATGTTTGTTATCTTAAAACTCGTAACTTATTAAAAAAAAATATTTTTAAAGAAAGAGTTTTTAAAAGAAAGTTTGTTAAAGATTTCAAATCACTGTAACCGGCAACCGGAAAAAGTTTTTGTTTTGCCCAATGTCTATCTAAGTAAATTGCTTGCTTTAATAATTTATATATTTGTTATGATTAGATCATCTAAAACTAGTAAACAGAGGAAAAACTTAGGTAATTATTAAAATGCAGATTTTCATTGCCTCTTACAAGTACAGAATAAATTAATTTTAAGTATTATAGGCTGTTGAGGTACACGTGATGGTATTTTGATATTTTGCTTGTGTTTTGGATTTGCTTTTTACATTTGAGTAACTGATTGAAATCAGTCGCTTAAGCTTTTCCACGCATTTTATTAAGATGGCACTTTTCTGTTTTGATGCAGCAGATTTTATGAATTTGTGACTATATTGAAGTGTGTATAATATGTATTGATTATATCTTCATAATGTTATAGTTGAATAATCTAGTAATAAAATAAATTTTTGAAATATAAAATATTCTGTTTGTGCTGCATGAAATTTATCTGCAATAATTTTTTTTTTCAATATTATAAATTTTCAATACTCAAACAGTACAAAATCTTTATCATAAAACTGCTTCCGCTGCTGTTCTTAAATAACTAACTTGAACTGCATCATGCATGTGTTTTAAGAAGTTTCTCCTTCGCACAAAGATAGTGTAAGTAAGAAAATGGAACAATTATCAGTGTAGATACAATAATGTAGAGGATTTAATAGTCACCAATAAAAATTTAAAGAATGAAAATATTGCAGAGAAACAGTGTGAAGAAAAAGTCCTCATCATATAAATTGTGGTAGAAGATTAAAGGACAACAATTTTAAAACATCGTTGTAAGAATGAAGTGACTATAAAATATTGAATAAAAAAAAATTTCTGAGAAATATACATTTTTATATCAGTAAATATAATTTTTAGAATTTTATGAAACCTTTTTTTTTCAGTGTTTTGCACTGAAATATTATTTTGGAAAAAATTATGTGGGAAGAAAAAGTATTTAAAAAAAAAAGGCCACTATATATAAACAGTAGATATCTGGAATGCTATGATTTTTCAATCTAGAATGGGTTTTAGAGGGCCATATTTTTCAGGCTAATTTTCTAAAATTTAACCTGTATTTGTACAATTATAGCTTTAATTGCAATTTTCATATTTTAAATTTGCAAATATTAAGCAGAAATTCACAAAATCTTATCATTTAATCAAAAAATCGTTTTCAGAAGCATGGTAGTTACAAAAATCAAATAATTGTAGGGAAAGTATTATGTATCACCTGCATACACTATTACCAACAATGGGCTTAAAAATATTTTAATAAAGTGTATGGAATAATATTTAATCTTTTAGATACTTTCTTTATTAATAGTGACTGATGCCACAAAAGGTATTAATAGTTTTTTAGAAAAAGAGAAAGGAAACTAAGGCTGATCTGTGGAATATGGTAACTGGTAGTTTGGCGACGTTTTGGAGGCGATAAAGATTACTACCGAGGACTTTTTTAATAATGTGAGAAGTACTCAGTTCTGATTAGGCATTATTTTGTGTGAGGGAAATGAGAGATCATGAGATATGTCATGTGACATTAATGGACGAATTACAGTTCTTTAATCGGAAAAGGGGGGAAATATGGAAATTTTGTATTTAGCTTTATTCTGTGTGTGAAACAGTGTTGGTTAATTTATGGATCCCATGGCCCTAACTAAAGTGAATTCGAAATGGGTATTTAGTGGGATTGAAAGGGGTAGTAATAAGTGTTTTTTTAAGGTTCTGCGAGATAGAAGTAAAGATGTTTTATAAGTTATTTATTTTATCTGATACCTTGATGTGAACTATAAGTATGATTTTAAAGATCCTGAAACAGGCGCACATACGCTTGCTTTTTATTTAACGGAGGAAATAAGAAAAGTTTATCGGCCACGTAATCAAGATTCTGAAGAAGATTAGGTAAGTTAGTATTTTTAATTATTTGAGGATATTATTTTTATGCATTGTTCTAAATGTAAGGAGTAAATAAAGTAATATGGTATTATTGGAAAATTGTTATTAGCAATGATTTAGTTTAAAGTAATTAAGATTGTAAGCTAATTTTTATTAATTTAATGTATGTGCTTATTTATATTTTAAGTAGTGTTTTTGAATTTACTATTTTAATTAAATGATATTTATTTTGTGAATTATATGTTTGTAGGAATTTGGTATATGTTTCAGTGGAAGTAAACGTGCATGGAAATAATTTTAATATTTGCATGGAATTAATTTAAATATTTTAAATATTTAGACTAAGTATTTGTAACCATTTGTAATGTTTGAGGTATGAATTCGTTGATGATGTTTATAATATAATAGATAATTTAAAGGTAAAAGTTTTTGGATATTTTATTTATTTTATACGTGGAAATATTCATCTTTGGAAAGAATATATACTTTTTCGCGATCAGGTAATTTCACATATGTTCTTTTTATCGGATTTAAAGATTCACAAAATTTTCATGCATTTTCGTGAAATTTTTCTAATTTATGAGAAAAAAGCAGTGTACATGGATACAGTGAAGAGTGTGCGCAATGCCATTTTGTGCAATTCTGGGAGGTTTTTTTAAGTAAAAATAAGTCGACGTGTACATGGTTTAGTGATATTTTAATTAAATGATAGTTATTTTGTGAATTTTATGTTTGTAGGAATTTGGTATACGTTTCAGTTGAAGTAAATGTGCATGGAAATAATTTAAATATTTAACACTAAGTATTTGTAACCATTTGTAATGTTTGCGGTATGAATTCATTGGTGACGTTTATAATATAATAGATAATTTAGAGGTAAAAGTTTTTGGATATTTTATTTATTTTATACGCAGAAATGTTCATCCTTGGAAAGGGTATATACTTTTTCGCGATCAGGTAATTTCATATATGTGCTTTTTACCGAGTTTAAAGATTCACAGAATTTTTTTGCATTTTCGTGCAAAGTTTTTGTAATTATGAGAAAATAGCAGTGTAGATGGATAAAGTTAAGAGTGGTGCAATGCCATTTTTTGTGCAATTCTGGGATGTTTTTTTAAGTAAAAATATGTTGACGTGTAAATGGTTTATGTGTATGTGCTATTCTGAAAAACGCGCAAGGAGTTTGCGATTGTGCACTTTTTTCCAATTTTGCAGTTAATATTTGTCATGATTAAGCAGTTTTGTTACATAAAATTTCTAGCATAAGTGTAATTCGGCTAGTAGATTGTTGGAAAAAGTGTTCAGTAAATAAAAAGAAAAGAAACACGTCTTTAATTCGTGAAGACAAAATGGCGGCAAAAAAAAAAAAAAAAAAAAAAATAGAGGGTTGCTGTAGCAGAGTTGGTCGCCAAAAAATCGCCAAGTTACCATAATCCAAAGATCAACCGAAACTAACAATACAATGAAAAGTCTATGCTAGAAAATTATAGTATGTACTGATTTACTATTATCATTAATAAGATTTATTTATTATTAAATTAATGAAAAAGATTTCATTTTTATACTTTTATCTACATCCTCATCGAAAAGTTGCAAATTTGTCAACTTTGGAGAGCATTTGTGACTGGTACCTGGGTTGCTACATAAATAATTTTGGTTGATCTTTACATTACGGTAACTTGGCGATTTTTTGGCAAAAATTTGGCGACCAACTCTCTTACAGCAACCCTCTATTTTTTTTTCCCCCGCCGCCATTTTGTCTTCACGAAGTAAAGACATGTTTCTTTTCTTCTTATCTACTGAACACTTCTTCCAACAATCTACTAGCCGAATTACACTTATGCTAGAAATTTTATCAAACAAAACTGCTTAATCATGACAAATATTCACTGCAAAATTCGGAAAAAGTGCACAATACCATACACCTTACGCGTTTTTCAAAATAACACATACACATAAACCATGTACACGGCGACTTATTTTTACTTAAAAAAACATCCCAGAATTGCACAAAAATGGCATTGCGCACACTCTTCACTATATCCATGTACACTGCTTTTTTCTCATAAATTCGAAAAATTTCACGAAAATACATGACAATTTTCTCAATCTTTAAACCCGGTAAAAAGAACATATATGAAATTACCTGATCGCGAAAAAGTATATACTCTTTCCAAATATGAACATTTCCACATATAAAATAAATAAAATATCCAAAAACTTTTACCTCTAAATCATCTATTACATTATACACGTCACCAACGAATTCATACATGAAGCATTACAAATATTTAGTATCAAATATTTAAATTATTTCCATGCACGTTTATTTCAACTTAAACGTAAAGCAAATTCCTACAAGCATAAAATTCACAAAATAACTATCATTTCATTAAAATATCACTGAACCATGTACACGTCGACTTATTTTTACTTAAAAAAACATCCCAGAATTGCACAAAAATGGCATTGCGCACACTCTTCACTATATCCATGTACACTGCTTTTATCTCATAAATTAAAAAAATTTCACGAAAATACATGACAATTTTCTGAATCTTTAAACCCGGTAAAAAGAACATATATGAAATTACATGATCGCGAAAAAGTATTTACCCTTTACAAATATGAACATTTCCACATATAAAATAAATAAAATATCCAAAAACTTTTACCTCTAAATCATCTATTACATTATACACGTCACCAACGAATTCATACGTGAAGCCATTACAAATATTTATTATCAAATATTTAAATTATTTCCATGCACATTTATTTCAACTTAAACATACACCAAATTCCTACAAGTATAAAATTCACAAAATAACTATCATTTCATTAAAATATAATTAAATTCAAAAACACCACTTAAAATATACATGAGCACATACATTCAATTAATAAAAATTACCTTACAATCCTAATTACTTTAAACTAAATCATTGCTAATAACAATTTTCCCAATAATACCAAATTTCCTTTCCACCTTACATTTCCACAATGCATAAAATAATTAAAAATACTAACTTACCTAATCTCCTTCAGAATCTTCATTACTTGGCGGATACACTTTTCTTCATTCTCTTTCAGAATCTTTAAAATCATACTTATCTTTCAAAGCAAGATACTACGTAAAATAAATAACATAATAAAACATGTTTATTTCTCTCTCACACAACCTTAAAAACACATTCTTACTATCCTTTTCAATACCACTAAATACCCATTTCGAATTCACTTTACTTACGGCCATGGGATCCAAAAATTCACAAACACTATTTCACACAACACAGAATAAAGCCAAATACAAAATTCCCAGATTTTTCCCCATTAAAGAACAGTAATTCGTCCATTAAAATCACATGACATATCCCATGATCTCTTCCGATTAAAGAACCGTAATTCGTCCATTAATATCACATGACATATCCCATGATCTCTCATTTCCCCCACACAAAATAATGCGTAATCGGAACTCAGTACTGCTCACATTATTACCAAAGTCCCAGGTAGTAACCTTTATCGCCTCCAAAATGTCGCCAAACTACCAGTTACCGTAATGTAAAGATCAACCATAATTTTTTTTGACATTGTGTTTTGCCATATAACTATTTTGGCAAAATTCAGAAAGTGCTTACTTTCTGATTATTGCACCTCTGCTGAAAAGTTGTGAAAAAGTATTTGTGAGGCTAAATAGTATGTCATGAAAATTATATGTGGCAACCCATGATGTCACCCAAAGATGTTTATGTTATAGTGTTGCGAGGCCCCAACTTGTCAGCAACAGTGGTAGTGATTGCTATGAATTTTAAATTACACAAACTTGCAAGAAGGGTTTAAATCCCTTTTTATTACACTTTAGAAATAACAGCTGCGTTCACTTGATGCTCACAAACTACGCCGACCCGGCGGTTTAACAAAACAGAAATGTGAGACTAAAAATAAATGACAGGATGAATAAATAATGAGATCCTACCTACGAGGCTCTAAAAATCGTAACTAACTAAACAGCATTCTAAGATACAGCTGAGATTCAGCAAACTTACTGATTAAGCATTTGAAGATTCAACGAACTGCTGAAATAGACACACAGGCCGAAACGCGTGGTTCTTAAATTTCTACCTAGCAACCTTCAAGCTCGTGATTCAAGAAGCACACATACAAACTCATTTCCCTTCTATTTAAACTCAACTTACTTCTGCTAAATTTTGAATATACTGCGCATTCTACTACAATTTACATACTCTGGCATTGTCAATTCTAGGGGAAAGTAAAGGCTTGACAGGAAAGATAGCTTAAAATAAATGTTAGTTAAAATAAATATAAACCCTACAATGTGACAACTCAAGTATGCATGTCCTGCATGTGTAACATTGTCCTGTTTTGACTGGTGTGCAATATGGAAGTTGTACAGAGCCTCAACTGTGCGATTCTCTGATTGTTTTAAGTGAAAATAGATCTTTTTTGTACATGGGGAGAGTAATACAATGTACACAAAAATTATTTCTCGAAAGTGTTTTATTTCTGATATTTCTTGCATTTTAAAATTTTATTATTTGATTGCTCTTGTATGGAATTCTTAGCCTGCCATTTTGAATGTCTTTCGTGTATTAGCTTGGTGAAAAAACAGTCGCCAGTGAGTTTTCAAATGCTTTTGAAAGTCTTCAACAAGTTCATAATTTTTTAGGGTTGGGGGTTGCAGATAATCAGAAAGTACAAAAATATTTTTGAGAAATATGTATGTAATAATTGTAGTAATTTTAACTTTTTTGTAGCTGGAACAGAAGTTTCAGAAGAAGCTATGCTGTCAGAAGCCTCAAATGCTCAGCAGTTGAAAAAATTAGAAATTTTACTTGAACAGGTAGGTTCTGACCATAATGTAGTTTATGTTTGCTTTTGATTAATAAAATTTTAGGTAATTTGTTTACCAGTCTAGTTAAATTTTTATGCTAGTTTATTTATTTTGATAAATTCCTGTTAACAAACAAAAAGTATGTCATCTAAATTTTTTTTAAATCCCCCCTCCCACACTTCTAAAAGGAAATCAGGTCTTTATCCTGCTATTTGCACTATTTACTATTACTGCTATTTTCATTTATCATGAAAATATATTAAATTTATTTTTGATACACAAACCATTTGTAATGATGAACTCAAGATTAATTCTAAAAAATGTATTGTCTAAAAGTATTTTTTTTTGTACTTCTTATTATCTGCACCCTCTATCAAAAAATCATAAACTCATTGACAACTTTGGAGAACGAAACCTTTTGGTGACTTATTTTTTGTCAAGCTAATAAGTGAAGGCATGAGCCATTTTTGAAATTTCAATGCTCTTAAGAATTCTAAAAGAAATACAGTAATCTATTAGAAATATAATATAAAATTGAATATCTTTTTTGAAAACTATTTCTGTCAAGACACAACTGTTTTTGTATATATTGGGTGGAATGGAATTAGATTATTTAAGAACTATTTCTGTGTTTTCCATCTGCATTGTTGTCTTCCCCAGCTTTCTGTTTTTGCCAATCAAAGTTGGATAATTGCATAAATTCAGTATCATGCAAAATTTTACCATTGTACATTTTTATGTATTTATTACAAATGCGCAGATTCACTTGTTGCACTCAGCTTTATTCTGGAGGCATATCTTCTTTTTATAAGGAGCTTGAGTGAATGAAATGAGAGCCTTTTCAAAGGTCTCTGGAGGACTCTTGCACCCTTTTTAGCATTATACATTGGTGAACAATAAATAAAGCAAATAACTGTTGCAAACAAGGTACGGTTATCTTCAATTGAGTTTCCAACCTGCATTCTAATACTTTGCGTGCAATTTCTTACATTGCATTTCCATAAAGTACAGTTGTTTAAGAAGTATATCTTTACAGACTGAATCTTTGCATTATCTGTTGGGCAAAATGCTGTATTTCTGCAGAAATGCGATGCTTTCTTCTTCATCAGTGAGCAGACTCCACAGTCCCATTATGAGAAAAACAGATACAGTCGAAAATCTTTAATCCGGAATGATCTATAATCCGGACCTCAAAGCTACGAACTTTCTGCGCATGCGTAAAAGCATTATGCGTTATACGCTTATGCATGCGCGTTTAATGTATAACGGTCGGTATAACCTTAGCTAAAATTATCTATTTCAATTAATGTTGCAGATTGTGTTGTTCCTTAATCTCCTAATTAGATCCGGCTTATTATTTTTTGCAGACTGTTAGAGCAATTTTATAAAAGTAAGCTTGAACTTTCGATTATGTCAAAAAGAATTTCTGATTCTGAAGCTGCCAAAGGATCTACTCTAATAATTTTGTGCATCTCCAAATCAGATGATGGTGGTTCAGTGGGTTTACTAATTTTAACTTTTTTTCATTTTTGACAATATTTTAATTACTATATACAGAGCGTATTCTTAGGCCGCCGCCTTCAACATGAACAAACTTTATTCTCTACAACTAAGCGAGCAACAGCGCCCTCTAGCCTTTTTCTTCAAATTACACAACACTCCCCACCTGAACTCGGTGGAGAGTTCATCTTTCAATAATATATTCTAGAATATTCAATTAATATTTCGACAATAAATCCTGGAGAAATGGTTAAATATAACACATGCATACATAATTATAAGCACATAAAATTTTACAAAACATTAAATGATACCTATCAGCAAGGTAAGGAGAATCAAACCTAAAAATACAAAATACAAACATTAGTTAAGTTCCATAATATATAACAATTGTATAGGCCTTTTTAAGGTACCAGTAGGTGTTTTAATTATGCAAGATCTTATTTTACCATCTCTGCCTGGCATTAATCCAAAATTTGCCCTATTGTCCAGAGATTTCTGGGATGTTAATTGATTAGCAGGGCAGAGATAGTAATCGTCTACCAACCAGAAATTGAGAGGGCGTTAGTGGAGAAGGTTCATTGGGATCGGTAAACACGTAGGTAATTGGTCTACAATTAATCATTGCCTGGATTTCAAGCTCTTTCACAGTAAGGGATGCTCGACCAATAATTTTTCGCAAGCTGGATTTTATGGTTCGTACCATACGCTCCCAAAACCCTCCCCACCATGGACCCCTCTCAATAATAAATTTCCAATTTATGCCTCTAGCAGAAAATAATTCTTTCACAGATGAGTCACTCAAAGTTTTAAAAATATGTTTTAGTTCTTTATCAGCTCTTTTAAAAAGTCTTGGCATTATCGGAGTACACGGTGGTACACAGTCCTCGGCGAGCTAAAAATCTTCGGAAAGCTAGCAAAAAACTTTCAGTGCTGAGATCAGTTACTATCTCTATATGTAAGGCACGAGTGACCGCACACGTTAACAACAGCATGTAAACTTTACCTTGCCTGTCTTTCGTAAAAAATGGACCGGCGAAGTCCAACCCGGTCACAGCAAATGGAGGCGACTCTTGGATTCTGTCTGGAGGAAGTGGAGCGATATCCTGTACCCCAGGACGAGCACTATATCGTTTGCATATCACACATTTTCTGATGATAGTCTTAACACGCTGTCTTCCCTTAATGATCCAATATTTGTCTCTGATCTGAGTTAGTGTCGAATTAACTCCAGCATGGAGTACCCTTTCATGCGAGTCCATGATGATCAACTCGGTAAACTTGCATTTTGAGGGTAATAGAATAGATGTTTTAAATTCTCGTGACAGTCTGCAAATTGAATGCGACCTTTCAACCGAAGAATTCCCTCCTCATCAAGCCTTGGATTAAGGGAGTAGATGGAAGAATCGAGAATTGATTTTTTATTTGATAACTTAATTATTTCCGCTTGATACGATTCTCGTTGCGTAATTTTTACCCAATAATGTTCAGCTGCTTTAATCTCAAAAGCACTTTAAAGGTCCATTCTCTGTAGACCTTTTCCGAAGCCTCCCAATAAATCTAAATACATAGGCAGTAATTCGAAGTAATTTTCCTAAAGAACTGAATTTTTCTATATGCAAAATTGGGGATTCATTGTTAATTACAGGTGCAGTCAAAATAATACTTTTTTCTTAACTCCAACGATTCTGAATTTGGTTTTAATTTCTTTTGTTTTGGAAAGTTTTCAATAGGAAAACGTAACCAGTGTGGCCCATGCCACCACAAATCATTCTTAATTAGTGACCGAGCACTAATTCCTCGAGTTAGTAAATCGGAAGGATTTTGTTTCCCTTCGCAATGGTTCCACAATTTGTTGTTGCATATACTCTGTATTTCTGTAACACGATTGGCGATAAATGGTTTCCAATTATTTGGCGAACCTTTAATCCAAGTAATGGCGATTTCGGAATCACTCCAAAAATAAACATCCTCAATTAAATCACCAAACAATTTTTTCAAATATTTATACATTCGAGCAGCCACGAGTGCTCCCATTAACTCTAAACGAGGAAGCGTGATTGCTCTTAAAGGTGCAACTCTGCATTTCGACATGATAAAGGAAGTTTTAATTTTAGAATCACTCGTACAATATCTGAAATATGCGATGGCCCCATATGCTTTAGGACTAGCGTCCGAAAATAGGTGAAGGCTTATATTCATTGGATCGTCATCAAAGAAATTTCTCTGTATCGATATTTCAGTTAAATCATTAAGTTCCTCCCGCCAAATGTTGAATTTGTCCTTAATCTCTGCAGGAAGGACCTCATCCCAGTCAGAACCGGAACACCAGATTTCTTGCATAATAATTTTTGCCCGAATAACAAAGGGTGCAATAAATCCAAATGGATCGTATATTTGGGCGATACTTTGCAAAAGTTTCCTTTTTGTAGCAAAATCGTTTCCAGTAGAAAAGTCAATTAAATTTTTTAAATTTAACTTTATATCGTCTTCAATGGAATTCCAAATCATGCCTAAGAAATTCGATTCACTAGTTAATTTGTTATCTGATTCCTTAATCCCATTTAAGACCCATAAATCGTTTAATGCTTTAGAATTAGTTCTTAATTTTCTGAAATTCATCCCAGCATCCTTAAATATGTTAACCGCATCTACAGATAACCGATATGCATCTTCAACCGTTCCTGCTCCAAAATATAGGTCATCGACATAGACAGAAGAATTTAACATTTGGAAACTGTCCGGCATTTTATCTTTATATTTTCGAATGTGATATTTTATAGTGGCGGCCAAAATGAAAGGAGATATAGTCAAACCGAAAGCTACGCGACACATTTGCATAATCTTAAAGGAGTCATTATTTTCATTAAACCAAAGAAATTTTAGAAATTTTCTATCACCTTCAGCAATTCCTATCATCAAAAAGGCTTTTTCAACGTCTCCACAAAACGCTATCTTAAACTTACGAAAATTTAACATAATGTCTAGTATATTTGGATTTAGATTAGGTCCCGATTCAAGGCAGTCATTTAACGAATTCGTGTCCTCTGTCCTTGAGCTAGCATCGTACACAATTCTTACCTTAGTAGTTTCACTAGGTCGTATCACTGCTCGGTGCGGCATAAAATATCCCAAATTTGTATCATTATTTGGACATTCCTCCACAATTCCTTCTAATATCTGGTTCTCAATTATATTTTTATATTCCTGAAAAATCTCCGGAGTTTTACTTAGTTTATTGTGAAGGTTTGCGAATCGTTTCTTAGCTACTACCTCAAAATTATTTCCTAAATTATTCGGACTGTATTTCCAGATTAAATTTGCCTCATATCTTCCGTTTTTAAACTGCAAATTTCTTTCAAACTGGTCTACTATTTCGCAGTCAATATCGGAATAATCATCAGAATCATTAATTCCCATATGTTCTAATTCCCAAAAACCTTTTAAATCTTTCAACACAACAGTGTTTGTCATTCATTACCGCTAAAT